GGAACTGGGCCAAAAGGCAGGTTGAAATTGGTTGTTGGTGACGGTTTATGCTGGTAAGTAATGATGAAGATGGGGAATAAAAGTTCAGGGGGAAGAAGGGGCTCTTAAATACCCATTCTGGGCCTTTGGAGGCGAACTCAGGAGTCTCTATAGTTGCTACAACTCTCCTACTAAGCCTATGGGAGGTTTTGATCATCTGTAGCACCTGTAGAGCTTGGTTACAGGTGCCAAGGAGATGATGTAATGCTTGTAACCATGTTTACAGGGTGTTCTGACGAAACTGTAACACTCCTGTAGCCTATGTAAGCACTGCATGATGCATGGGTTGATCCTCAAGAGAGTAATTGTCCCAATTGGGCCAAAAAGGGCCACAGATCATCCCAAACAATTTAATACTGTAGTCTGTGCTCATGTAGTTAAGGTTTCAATGATGTAAACCTTGTTTGTAGATTTTTCCCGAACTGCATGAACCTTAATTACACATGTAGCCCCCTTACAACATGTAGTATGATGTAACTGGAGGGGTCTACAGTGTATTTTGGTCCAATATCACTCAAGGACTCCAAAGTAAGTGAAGGAGTAATAATTCAAGGGTACACTTGGTGAGCTACCCTAGGTTATTTTGCATGTAGATTCAGAATCTGCAATAATATTCTAAGTTACACTTAAGGTTCAGAAGTTATTAGAAGATTCTGGTTAAAAGTGTTATTTTTCATAGTTTATTTAATTATTTAAAGGTTTTTCTCATGAAATATTTACAATGTAAGTGTACTGTGTAATAATGTCTCTATTATAGTGTTTCAACTTATTTAAATAGTGTATTCTAATATTTTAATTGTATGTACATATGTAAGTGATAATATCTCTAAATAAGTAAATGCTATGTTCAGGCTGGCTCTGATTAGTAGCAGGCTGACAAAAAGTTCCTTACCGCTAGCAGCCAAGCCCCACACATATATCATGTGCGCTTCATCAACTACAACTAGCGACACACAATCCTGGAAGCTCTCATTTAAGAAGATCCTGGTGAATATTGGGTTGTTTAACAACACCTTGGGGCTCTTGAGATATGTCAGTTTAAATTCTTGAAGGCTAGAGATAATTATTTCTCTGACTCACAAAGTAAATAAAAGAATAATCACCTTTCAAAATTTTTGCTTCTTCAGTCTTGTTAAGATTCATCTTAGTTAGGTTGCTTGTGCTGATTTCCAGATTTTGTTTCTCCTCAACCTTGAAAGATAGAGTAGTATAGTTACATCAGTATTTTAATCTTCTTTGAATACAGGTTGATTGATGTACATACCTGATTATCCCCCAGGGAGTCCAGAGGATTCAAATCCAACACAACCCACTTCTTGTATTGAGGAAAGAGATCCCAATACATCTCTGTGATTTGGCTCTTACCGACGCTGGTCCCAGCAAGAAAAAATGTATCTCGATGATTGATCAAATCCATAACTGCTTCTATCTGGATCATTTTTGGCTCTTTGTCAGCCTGGGTGATGCCAAGAGCTAGACTCTTCTAGCTAAACCAGGTGCAAATTAAAGAAAAATGATGTAAAAGTGTGGGTAACACTTGGAATGAGGAGGTGTTTGATATTAAGAAAAGAAATAATAAAAACACTTAAGTTTTTATAAAACGAGGGGCCTGAGTTACAGGGGTTTTTATGGTGCCCTCCAATGAATCAGTACCTGTTAAAACAGGGGTATTTTTTATGTAACTGATGTTCTAGTCCTTTATATAAAGGAGTATGCCCAGACAAATGCCTACAACTGAAGTATCAAGGAAATATTACCTACTTAGTACTATTTCCAAGCCAAGGGGACTTCAGGTGGGTGAAAACTGGTCTGGAAGCGCTCAGAAAACTGGGTAACAGGTGGTGAGAGATTGCTGGGGAACAGTTGATGGTTGGTTGGTTGAAATTCAGGATGTAAAACAGCAGGAACTGGGCCAAAAAACAGGTGAAAACTGGTTGTTGGAGGTGGTTATTGCTGGTAAGTAATGATGAAGATGGGGAATCAGAATTTAGGGGAAAGAAGGGCTCCTTATATACTAATTCTGGGCCCTTGGAGGCAAACTCAAAACTGTGTTTGGATTGTGCAAGCCTCCTACTAGGCATTGGTGACCTGCAGCACTGCCTAGGCACCTGTAGTTGGTTACAGGTGTCAGAGGGCTGAAGTGAGGCTTTTAACACACACTAAGGGGTGCTGTGACAAACCTGCAGCCATGGTTTTGTCACTGAGGCCCTTTAAAGACCAGTGGGCTGGTCCTAACAAGGCATAGTTAGCCAAATTGGGCCAAAAAGGGCCACAAATGGCTTTTGACCAGCCAGTTACAGTTGTTGTGACCATTTAGTTAAGGTTTCAATGATGTCAACCTTATTCTTAGATCTTTCCCAAACTGCATGAATCTTAATTACATGTGTAGACCTGTCACAACATGTAGTATGATGTAACTGGGAGGGTTTCTGGCAAAATGAACAAGTGTCACTCAGAGTACACAGAAGTTCTTGAAGGAGTAATAATTAAGGGGTACCTTTGGTGAGGTACCCTAGGTTATTTTTCATGAAAATCAATAATTGAAATAATATTCTAACATTTGCTTAAGGTTCAGAAGTTATTTGTAGATTCATGTTAAAAATTTTTATTTATAAATGTTTTTGGTTTATTTTTAGGGCCTTAATAAAAAAACGCGGTTTTTCCGCGTTTTGACGCGGTTTTGATGCGCCGCAGCACACGCGGTTTCCGCGTTTAGACGCGGTTTTATTAATTAATTTTTTACGGCTTATTTTTCGAGTTTGTTTGATTTTTTAAAATTGTTTCATAGGTTTCCAAGCGTGTAGAATTTAATGGTAAAAACCATTTTCCGTGAAAATGAATTTTGATTATTAATTTTTTTTTTCCACTTATTTTTCCATTAATTGTATGCATACATGTTTTTACCTTATTTTTTATGTTTTTTTGAAATTTTCAATTTATTTCCTAGGTTTCAATACGTGTAGAATTTAATGGTGTAAACCAAATTTTTCAAAACTCAACGGTTCATCTTTAATACTGGAATTTGACGTTTTTTTCACTTAAATTTCTACAGCTTAATTTTCATTATTTTTTGATGTTTTAAATTTATTTCCAACACTTTAATACATGTAGAAAATGATGGTATCAACCATTTTTCCCCAAACTGAAAACTATACCTTGAATGCCGCATTTGACACGTGTTTTTTAATTAATTCATCACTTTTTCACTTAATTGTTTGCATACATGTGTGTACCTTATTTTTTATGCTTTTTTGAAATTTTAAATTTGTTTCCTACATTAAAAAGTGTGTAGAATTTAATGGTAACATTCAATTTCCATAAAACTAAATGGTTCATACTGAATACTGTAATGAGTCATATTTTTCAATTGATTTTTAACAGCTTATTTTTCATTATTTTTTGACATGTTAAATTCTTTTCCTACACTTTCAAACATGTATAAAATTATGGTAACTATGGATTTTCATGAAAATGAAAACTATGTCTTGAATAATGCCTTTGACGTGTTTCCCAAATTCATTCTTACACGCTCAATTATCCTTATTTTTTGGAATTTAAAGCTCATTTCCTACACTTTGAAAGGTTTCAAAATTGATGGCTGTATCCATTTTGCATTCAAATAAAATTTGTATATGGTACAAATTATGCAAGAAACGGGGTAAACTCATCTATTAAGATTGAAGCTTGTATTTTGAGTGAAATTGGACTTCACCATTCAATTCTAAACATTTGTAAATGTAGGAAATAAATTTAAAATTAGAAAAATGCTTAAAATCGGGCCGGTAAAAATCAATCAAAAAAACATTAAAAAAAAGCCTGTCCACTGCAGTATTCAGTAACAAGCGCTGACTTTTATGTAAGATGATTGTTACCATCATTTTGAGCATGTATTAAAGTGTGGGAAATAAACTTAAAATGTCAAAAAATATTGAGAAATAACATGTAAAGAATTAATTGAAAAAAGTGTCTAGTTTCAGTATTAAAAATGAACCGTTGAGTTTTATGGGAATTGAATGTTACCATTAAATTTAACACACTTTTAAATGTAGGAAACAACTTTAAAATTTCAAAAAAGCATAGAAAATAAGGTACACACATGTATGCAAACAATTAAGTGAAAAAGTGATGAATTAATAAAAAAAAACGTGTCAAATGCGGCATTCAAGGTATAGTTTTCATTTTGGGGAAAAATGGTTGTTACCATCATTTTCTACATGTCTTAAAGTGTGGGAAATAAATTTAAAATGTCAAAAAATGATGAGAATTAAGCTGTAAAAAATTAAGTGAAAAAATGGGTCTAATTTCAGTATTAAAAATGAACCGTTGAGTTTTAAAAAAATTGGATTGCACCATTAAATTCTACACACATTGAAACCTAGGAAATAATTTTAAAATTTCACAAAAGCATAAAAAATAAGGTACATACATGTATGCAAACAATTAATTGAGAAATGAGTGAAAAAAAATAATTAATAATCAAAATTCATTTTTATGAAAAATGGTTTTTACCATTAAATTCTACGCCTTTTATAGTGTAGGAAACAACTTTAAAAATTCAAAAAAACTCAAAAAATAACCCATAAAAAATTAATTAAAAAACCGCGTTTAAAAGCGGAAACCGCGTGTGCTGCGGCGCATCAAAACCGCGTCAAAACGCGGAAAAACCGCGTTTTTTTATTAAGGCCCTATTTTTATGGTTTCCTTTATGACTAGTAAAACTTAATGTGCTGAGTAATAATGTCTCTATCTTATGTACATATAAAATAGACATTAATTACATATGCTATGGGGGTAGTGGATGACTTCCCGTCGGCATTTACGACCCTCGCAGAATTGGATTTACACGATGAAGGGCTTAATTTTTGGCAAAAAAAATATTTCTTCAGAAGCCTTGTAGTAAAGGCTCTCATGTGAGCTAGTTGTGGTTGTGATTAGAGTGTTAATTTAGAACTGAGAGAGGTCTAAAAAACACTCTAAACCGCGACGGGAAGTCCTCCAGTATGTGTAATAATGTCTCTAAATATTTTAATATGCTATGGTCAGGTTGTCTCTGAATAGTAGCAGGCTGACACTCTTGAACCTTGTAGGTTGTCTTTGATCTGTTGTTGAGCATTTTGATGATAGCTTTGTGGCTCATCGCAGTGATATCCTTATTCAAGACAAGCTTCCCCTTCTTACTTTTCAGCAATCGCTTGGGTGCTTTGATTGGAGTCTCTTCAAGCTGGTTCTTAGAAATGTCTTCAAAGGGTAAGAGGTCTTTGGTAATGCCTTCAGGTGGTAATGTTGGCTGAGTTTCATCTTCAATAGGTTGCAAGGAATCTTTGGCTGTTGTATTAGCCGGCATTTTGATGCAACAAGTTTGTTCACCGAGTTTTCTTCAGAGCTTTTCCTCTGTCTTTTGTCGCATCATTATAGTCCAAGAGTTTGACGGTAAATGGTTTCAGATCTCCTTAATTGTGCTTAGTAATCATATCATGTTATGATCTCAATCATACTACAGTCAAAGAATGAAATCATTTATTTTTCTTTGTATTTTTTTAAAGATATAATGAGATGGAAAGATAATACAAAAAATTAGGTAAAAAATTTAACAAGATGATAAGGATTGAGAAAAACAGCAAAACTAAATTCCAAGATGAATGTTGTGGAAGCCAGAGGAAAAAGTAAGAAAAGAAGCCTGTATAACACGTTCTTCTCAGGCAAAATTTGAGTGACCACATGTAAGCAACGGTGCCACAGATACGATACACTGTGTGTATCATGGAGAATCCTGCAAAGCTGCATGGCCAAAAACCAAATATCTTGAATCTCCCTTGCAAATAAAAGCAGATTGGTCAGATAGTTTTTTTTATTGGGGCTCAGATCCATAGTGATACATGGCAGATGATACTGTGTTTCTACACAGAAAATATAAAAATTTCTTATTATCTCTTTATACATTCAAGATATGGTAAAAATGAAATCAAAAATGGAATCCTCAGCTAAAATAACCCCTAGTCACCCACTACAACCATACCCTTATCTCTTATAGTTTAGAAGTTACACAGATTTCAACCTGTCACAGGATATTTCTTGGATTCAGCACTCTAGCCATAGTCATTATGAATACAGGATGCATATTGAATACTGAATTCCTTTGTAGTAAATTGAATACCTTTACGTTATATTGAATCCATTTGTATTAGTGATATTGCATGTATGCATCCCTTTGATCATACATATGCGTCCCTTTATTCATTCATATGCATCCCTTTGTAGTAGTATCTTTCAGCCTATACCCTGGGGCCAAAATCCCTCACATTTGTCTATATAAGGAGGCCTCTGCCTGTCAGTTGTCCCATCCATCATCCCACCAGTGGACCAGATCATCTCAACCACCCTTATAAATAAATCCATCTTATATATTATTTCATAACTACAAGTCATAGCCACATTACAATTACAGATTTATACACATTGAAATACAGATTTAACACTTTCATCATCATCATAAACAAAAAGTGCCCTGAACCATATTCATCAACACAGACCATAGCACTTCGAATCGAATAGTAAATCGAATACTCGAATCGATTCGATTCGAGTTGAATAATGCCCACCTAAAATTTGGCGCGAATATTCGACTGAAATCAAATAATGGAATAAATTTTCATCTGGGGCCTTCTGGTCCCCGGAGGAGGTTTCATAGAGTGTATATGGGGTGACGGGGACCCTACACACCCCTACCCGCCTTATACATAGGCTGCTGATATAGGATATCCCAGATATCCTGCTCCACCTCAGGCATCAGAAAACCGCAACCAACTACTAACCTGTCTCCCCGACCATGGCAAGCTCCAGTGATCCCCCGCCCTCAACCAAATCTACTACGGAACCATCCATGAAAGCAAAATCGGCGGTCGTTAATCAATCAGTGACAGCAAGCTTGTTTTTTGGTCCCCCCCGATAAATCTGGCAAACGTGCCTGCTTGATTGACTCCTGTGGCGATACGCTTGTGGTAAACAAGTCAACCAAGACCAACTTTGTGAATCACGTGGCTCGTAAGCATCCCGGCGAATGGAAACTTGCCCTTGAAGCGGCCAAAAATTCCGACGAATGCCTTGAAACTCCACACAGCTCCGGTACCCCTGCCACTTCTGGTTCCCAGTCAATGTCAACATCTCAAGCCAAAGGACCTCTCCAACAGATTATGCTCAAGTCTTGGCAGGCTAATTTCAACACTAACATTATCAACTGGATCATTGAGGATCAGCTCCCCTACGCAAAAGTCAAATGCCCTAAATTCATCAAGATGATTCATGGTCTTGACCCGGGTATCACCATCTTCAGCAAGCATACGGTTTCCCGTCGAATCAAGGCTCTTTATGCTGATAGTAAACCAGTTGTCTTCAGATTCTTGAAAACCCAATCCGAGCGCTTCTCTTTCACAACCGATATCTGGTCCTCAGCTGGCGGAACCCCTTATATCTTGCTTACTTGTCATTTCATCTCAAAGGATTGGAAGGCAACTTCAGCAACCATCGGCTTCAAACCCTTCCGAGAAAAGCACACTGGCACCAACATCCACGACAAAATCCTCCAGATCTTTGAAGAGTTCTTTTGCGACGAACTGGACTTGACTTTGAAAAAAAAGAAAAGCATTGGTGATCTCCGACTCTGATGATTCGAACAACAATTCTAGCTCATTCGATTCCAATGACTCTGAATCCAATGAGAACATAGATGGCGATTCAGGAGCTGCACTTGAGAACACATCCCCATCAAATGACATATATGATCTCTCGTATCTGGGAAAGAAAATCATATCAATCACTTTAGACAATGCTTCAAACAACGACAAATTCATCCAGAGCGCCCTTGACTCAAAACTCCTCAGCTCTCCTGAATGTCACATCAGATGTTTTGCCCACATCCTCAACCTTGCGGCAAACAAAGTTCTCAAAACCGTCAAGGCTTCATTAACCAAACTTCGAGCAGTTATCTTACATATCCGGCAGTCTGATCAAGTCTTTGGCACATTCCAGGGTCTTTGCCTTGAAAACAACGTCAAACAATCAAGACCAATCATCAACAATGCCACACGCTGTGGAAAGTAAGGCGCGCCCTAGGAGATTTCTTGTACTTCTCCGCTCCGCAACACGTCCTACTCCAATTTGTTGTCCGGGGTAACTTGCTTGATGGTCTTGTAGGTAGGTAAAATAACTATCTTTTATTGGTCTTTTGTAGGTAACACTCTAACTCTTTAATATCTAACAATTCTTTAGGCTAATACACAATTCACTCCTAAGTCACTCTATTTTTCTGATATGTTCTGAGTCATAAGTTTTTTTCTCTCCCCCCCCCTTCTGCTCTCGAACTCCACTCTTCCCAGTTTTCTCACGCTCCAGCTCCCCCTGCCTCCCACGATTTCCTCCGCTGTCACTCCCTTGGACTCCGTCCGTCACCCCTCCGACGCCTGTCGGTCTAGGTACCCCTCCGGCCGCTCTGGGACAGGTCTCCCACCGCCGTGTCCGCCTCTGGCTCGCTCCAAGCCCCGCTTCCGCCTCTCGGTGCCCCCGCCCCCTGTAGCCCCTCCGCAGTATACGCTAAACCCCATTCCGCAGTCGGCCGTGACTCCGGCGTCCGCCAGTGCCCGGATTTCCCGCAGCAAGCTTTCGGAACCTTGCGCATCCGGCCTGCTTTTCTCCGATCTTCCGCACCTCGGAAAGCTAGACTTTCCACTAACATGCCCCGCTTTCCTCAGCCTGCGTGTGCAGCTTCAGCTCCGCATGCTTTCTGCGTCAGCCGCATGCTTTTTCCGTGTCAGCCGCAAGCATTCCGCATGCACCCAAACAAACCGGCCAAAGCTTTGGCCGAGGCGCGCTCCCGCCACCACAAAGCTGGAACTCCACCTTCAACATGCTCAATCTCGCTATTGTTCAAAGACCTGCGATTGACAATCTTATCTCGTTGTGCATGAAGAATAACCGAGCTAGTCAAAAAGGACACAAGAAGAAATCAAAATCAAAATCAAAGAAGAAGGGGAAGACTGCCTCTGGCCCAACTCAAGTTATGGATGCATTGCGGGAGGCTAACGATAAGAAAGCTCAAGAGATGGTCAGTATTCCTCTTATCAATTATTTTCAATTGATATCACTTGGCTCCATTGCTAATGCAAGACGACCTCCATCATATAATTTTAACAGGCAGTCATAAGCAATGATGATTGGAACCTATTTGAGTGGATTCACAAGCTCTTGGAGAAGTTCAAACAGGCATTGATAGACACCCAAGGTGAATTCTATGCGACTCTCACAATTGTGATCCCATGGTACAAGGTACTCACGGACCACTGCAACGACACCATCAAGAAGTTCACCAAATCTCGTCGTCCATTGAGATCGGTCATGATCGAAGCAGCTAAAGCTGCTCTTGAGAAGCTCCAAGGCTATTATTCAGTCCACTCCCGACACTCTAATATACTTGCGGTCGTTTTGGATCCGCGCTTCAAGCTAACTCTCTTTGAAGAACAACCGCTCGATCCCAAAGATAATAATGCAGAGGACAACAACTCGGATACAAATTGCAAGACCCAGATCGAGTTCAAAGACCAAGCGATGAACGTTTTACAAGAAACTCTTAAGGATTACTCAACAAGACGTCCAGTCAAGCAGAAAGCAAAGTCTTACATAATGGGATCCGATTCAACCACCAAGACTACAAAAGCAAAAGAAACATTCCACCTGTTACAAAACTACAAGAAAACCGCAAAGCCGACTCTAAACGATGAAATTTCAACCTACATGCAAATGCCTGAACCCCCTTTCAACAAAGACATCATTGATTGGTGGAAGGAGAATCAGTATGTCCTCCCAACACTATCGATGATTGCCAAGGACTACCTTGCGATTCCAGCCAGTTCAGCAGCAAGCGAACGGGTCTTCTCTCAGTCCGGTAATCTAGTTTCAGTAAAGAGAGTCTCTCTCTCAGGTGACTCAGTTGAATCAAATATGTGTATGAGGTCTTGGATCTGTGGTTACTTAGTTGATACAGCTTATAATCTCATTAAAGATGACTAGAAGTTTTTTTATCTGTCTTTTTTTCTTTATTTCATCACTTCCTCTCTCAATAACCCATACATGAACATTCAAGTAGTCTAATCTAGTCTAATATATATCAAATTATATGTATGACTGACTGCCTGAAATGAAACATACCTCTGCTTTTGACACATAATGTCAAAAACACCAAAAAAACAACTTTTCAGTTTTTTTCCGTCGAATATCTGCTAATACTTGAATATTTGACAAATCGGTATTCGAGGGTCCACAAGAATGTGTCTAATACCACCATGCTATGCTTTGCATCAACAACAACTTCATCAATATAACCAACAGTCAATAACATCTTTATGCCCTCACACATATCAATCGGCAGCTTCATCTCGAACTTATCCCTATCACTATATATAAAATTGCCAAGCTAAGCTTGGTGGTCTTGTTATTCTGATAGTATAGAAGGGCAGAGCTTGCAACTCCAACATACCCTTCTCCATTCAGCAAAAGGGTTTTCATAACCACTTTTGAGTCTTACAAGGGAGTCCCCAACATGATAGTATAAGGGGTAAGTGAATTTTACAAACTATTTTTTACAAGACATATGTCTTGTAAACCGGATAGTTTGTAAAATTACGTTTTTATGGGGGTAATGTATAATTTTACAACCCATCTGTCATTTTCGAAGTTTGTAAAAAATTGGTTTGTAAAATATGTTTGTTAAAATTGTATCACAACATGGCATTATGTAATTTTACAAACTATATCATGCAAGTCTTGCATGACTAGGTTGTAAAGTTGTATATCAAAGCTTAAATTTAGAATTTTACAACACATACGCTTGCAAACCTTAATGTCTTGTGAAACTACGTATGTAAAAAAGCTTATTGGCACCCTGTAATAGAATTTTACAACACATAGTTTACAATCTATCATTAAACTTTCAATACATATCCATTAAGCTTCATATAAGGTTCATACAAACATTTGACAAACACGGCATATCATGGGTGATATGCCAGGCCTTCTCAAGTTCTCCCATCCTTTTTCGATCACCGACAACAGAGAACTCAACGCCTGACGAACGCCGACGCCATCCAGCCTAAACAGAGAAAGAGAAAACGTTCTCAGGATGTCAGAACCACGGACGACAGGCGACGAATCGATCCTTCCGACGGGTGCAACCGACGCCAGGGAATCAAACAATGACGCCGGCGTCGATCCCCGTCCTCAGCCGTTGTTCAACCCGCCGTCTACCGCTTCCACTCCCCTTGGCACGAATCCACCAAGTCCCTGGATCATCACCCCGCCAGAGTTGCTTTTTACCGCCAGCCCCCATTTGGAAACCCCCAATATCGACAGCGAAATGAGGATAAAGATCAATTCAGTGAGATCTTCGGATTTGAAGCGATCACAGAAGACCGCTAGCGCGACGGCGAAAGACATGAAAGCAAAAAAAGAAGAAAAAGAAGAAAAACAAAAAAAACAAAAAAAAGAAGAAAAAGAAAAAAAAGAAGACTTGACTTCGATGCCATCAAAGAAGACGGCTGGCGCGACGGCGAAAGAGGCGAAAGAAAAAAAAGACGAAAAAGAAAAAAAAGATGAAAAAAAAGAAAAAGAAAACATACCATGGATGATATCGTCGTCCGAGAAGCAAACCGACAACAATCGAATAGAAAAGAGTGAGGGTTTCGAGGATGAGGAGGTCGCCGAGGAGGAGGTCGACCACCTCGATCAATCGGACCACGGACCAGACCACGACCGAGAGGAGGATAGCCGATCCGAAGATGGCCATCCTGAAGCAAACATCGCGGATTCGGACGACACAGATGCCGTGCGAGATCCGCAAGGGAACGCGAAGGAGTGGTTCCTCCCAAATTTGGAGGACACCTTCGAGACCTACATCGATCACGGGTGTATCCTTGACAAGCAAGGGTACCCGATCTATCCCAACGGAAAAACGATCTTCGTGCGCAAACCTGGCGAGATGGTGACGAACTTCGGCACCGTTGGTTTTTCGAAAACATCCTCAAGCAATAAGCGAGGTATCAACAACGATTGGAAAGTTGTTTGTTACTTCTGCCTGGGGGCCCTGGTGTGTGACGATCCTTCTTGCCAGTGGGCTGGCCCCCCCCCCAACCGGAAAAGGTGGTAAACAGAAGCTTGAAGAGGGGTAAGCCCCTTTTATCATTATTTCTTGATTGATTATCCTTCTGTTTGATGGTTTGTAAATATATTTGCAAGAGTTGTAAAAATTTTTACAACTCTTGCAAATATTTTTACAAACCATTGCCCCACATGGCTTCATGACCTTTACTGACCATGTATGTAATTTTGCTACCAAACAGGAAAACAAAATGTCCCGGTAAATCAGGGAAATGCAAGGGCAATGTTACCCACAAGAAATGTTGCCGAAACTCCGTGGCTGTAAGATTCGATTACCACTTGCCTACCGGATGGGGTCTCCTCAGGCACAAGGGCACACATCCGCATCCGTGGCCTGAGGCTAAAAAGCCTGACCCCATGTCCAAGGATGAGTTGAAAGCGGAAATTTTGAAGAATCCGAGTGCGGGGGCACTTAAACTTAAGGTGAGTTGGTCCCACTTCCTACTTTCCTGATCATATTCCTCATGTTCTGTGATTTCTATGTTATGTAGACTGGAAAGCGGACGGATCCAGCTGCCGGCGCAAATAGTGTAACTGAGATCCATCCAGCTTATATCAACAAAGACCGATTGGCGTATTACCGGCGTAAGATGCTCGTCGAATTGAACTTGGTTCCTGACAAACTTGGGGGAGGAATAGGAGACAAATTTGTCTTGGACATGTTTGCGTGGGCTGCGTGAGTTATTTCTCTTCTTATGTTATGTCTCTTCTTGAGTTGAGTCATTGCTGATCCAATGTGTTGACTGTATTTGTTCTCACAGGCGTGGCTTGTTGATAACGTCTGCTTCATTCTTGCCACAGAATGAACACTTCACATTCCAAACCCAATGGATGGCCGATCGACTACTTGCTAGGGATGAGAATAATCAGGTCTACAGCGGGGGTCTCATATCCGATGTCACGTACCGATACTTCGAAACAGGCTACTTGCTCTCAACCTCAATGTACTGTGAAGACCTTCACCGATGGATACCGATCCAACTGACTTGGATCCGCGGGTTGAGTGAGGAATACTACAAACTCCATTTCACCACACTCTTCAGACAGTTTCAAGCCGCACCAGTAACACCTGCCGAACGTGACACGCTAGTCCGCCAAGTGGTTGACTTCTCCAGTGCTCAAGCCGAGGGATTTGTCTCAGCGTATCTGGAAGTCTTTCGTCAGGGAACTCGGAAAGAGGTGAGGCGCATGCTGAAAGGGTGTCGGGAGCATTTCCGCCAGTCTGTCACACGAATCAAGCGTAATCGGGCTCTCATGACTGCTGACAAGGAGGTGAGTAATTTTTGCTCTGGTGAGATGTATCTCCTAATAATTTGACTGATTTCAATGTAACATACCCCCAGGAGCCTTTCCGAAAAGCATGCATGGATCTCTTGGAACACCAAGAAGCCGGCGGGAAGACTCATGAAGAGAAGGTGGACTTCATTAGGCGACGTTATCCCAAAGTTTGCAAGTGGCTTGATTGGTGGACGGTTTCTGACATTGAGGCCCTCCTCTTTCCATCGCGACAACCCCGACTTGAGGATACTCCTGACGGTCTTCCCGATACTACCAATGCCCAGGAGAGTATGCACCGGATCTACTACAGGCTGAGGTAAGCTTAAATTCCCCTGTGAACTATTTGCAGGCTTCCCAATGAAGAAAGACGCTCATTTATAGGTTGTAATGTAGTGACGGAAAACAGTGCATCATGGTTGGAATGGTTGACCTGTTCTCCTTTGTAAAAATGCTGGAAGAAGATTGGAAAGCTGCGATGAAGGGGATCCCGATTTCCTATGGGGCCAACCCCACCACGGACATTGGCACCACCCTTGGTATCGTGAAGAAACGCAAACGTGGCGAAGGGAAGTTCATCAATGATGGAAGGCCCCCGGACACAACAGACGAGCTTGTTGATGGAAAGAAGAAGAAAAAAGCAAAGCTTGGCAGGCCCCCCAATTCAACAAACTTCAACAAAAGCCTCTGGTCAGCTTATCCATCTTACCACGCGAATAAGGACAACCCAACTCGAAGAAACCGCTGTTGGCTCGCCGCAGGTCTTGAATCTCTTTATGCTCTTTTCAGCCCATTATGGCTCCGTGGAATCAGCGGTCATGGGAAGGACGTCTTCACCGCAATCGCTCATCACTTCTCATGTCGATCAACTGGCGAACTAAATGGCAGTAACGCAATTCGTTCAACTTTGACGCGTGGACAAAACATGGTATTCGATGTTCTCAGTCCTAAATATCCAGGACGATTCCTTCCCGGCGCGTTTGCTTCTTGCGATTACTTCCTTGAGGTCGCGTTGGATCCCCAACTTCACAAGAAGGATGAGTATAAGCAGCTCTTCTCGATTGATGAACATCGAACTTTCACCTGCGAACTCCAGCCGAATAAATTGCAGAAGCACTCCACTCGAGATCACCGCACCCTTCATGTCTTGACAATCAAGCCCTAGATGTTTGATGAGAATCGGATTCCTCACTCTGATGTATCAAAGCTAATCGAGATGTGGCAAACCGATGGATTGCTGGCAACTTCGGGTATGATCTGCAAACACTGCAATCCAAACAAACCAAAACCGAAGCTCCCGAAGAACGCCAAAATTCAAAAAGTGTCTTCCGATGTCGACATTGTCAAGCTGCTTGGATCCTCTGAAAACACATCACACCACATAATTGATCGATCAAGATTGGCTGTCCCAGCAAATGGAGCCCCGCTTCATCTTAATTTCTATGTAGATGTCACCGGCATAACCGACAAGAAACAGAAAAATAACTTTATGGGATCGATCGATTGGCCGTTCAAGATTAACGTTGGAGGCGCCACATACACTCTGATCTCCCGGGGCTACTGGCAACATAATCACTACTGGTGTAAGGTCCTTCGAAGTGCTAACATCTCAGCTGACAAGGGTAGTTTGACCGCAATTTGGTTACACAACGACGCCGAGAATGATGGGTATGCTCAACAGATCAATCGTGTTCCCAGTTCAATTGCCGGAGTGGAAGAAAACACAAGCTGGCTCCTTTATTCGCGCGACTGGACACCTTCGGAGGAAGAATATGTCAACAACGCGATTCAGAAAATCATAGCCGAAAATCCAGAAGCTGCTGGCGATGTCCCTTTCAAGGAGATGAAGTCAGTTTTGAACACATCACACAGCTCAACGTTAATTCCCCACACCACCACAAACGAAGTTAAATCTACTCCTCCAACTACTGTCACATCCCAGGCCAGAGAAAAATCGCCTTCAACAACTACGGGTAATGCTCCAAAAAATTACACTTCACCAGTCAAAGGAACAACTCCGATTGCACAACTCGCCTCTCAAATGAATGCACAGATTGCTCGAAAGTATGCACTAGACCAAAAAGAACCAGACACCAAACAACAGTGTTCCTTGGATGCAGAAGTCACACTGGAAATAGACGAATCATTCCTCTCGGTTGGCGACAAATCTCATGGTGATCAATCTTTTGTGCTTGGCGATCAATCTCTTGGCGAATCTCATGGTGATCAATCTTTTGTGCTTGGCGATCAATCTCTTGAATCCCATGGTGATCAATCTTGTGGCGAAGATGGCAACAAAGACGGCGGTGATCAAACCTTTTCTCTTGGTGATCATACTGGCGAAGACGGTGGTGATCAAACCTTTTCTCTTGGTGATCATACTGGCGAAGACGGTGGTGATCAATCTTTTGCTCTTGGTGAACAGTCTCTTGGCAATCAAACTGGTAATCAGTCTCTAGCGGATGAAACAGATGATCATGTTACTCAAACTCAGGTGAAACACAGTCAGGAGGATGAAGAAGTCCCTCAGAAACCTCCAATACGGTTCAAGGTCATACTGAGACCACCTGAGCAACGATCACCTCCAAGTACCAAAGGAAAAACCCAGGCTTCAAGACGATCAGTGAGAAAGAAAAAATGAGATTGAAAGATTGTTCTCCTGGACTGACTTCACTTTTCCATTTATTCTGTTTGAGGCTCTGCGTTTTTTATTTTTGATCTGCTTTTTGATTTTTTTTTCTTCTTTTGTTCATTCCTTTTTGTTTGGTTTGAGGCTGTGTCTTTAACTTTTTTGCCCCTTTTATCTTTTGTTGAGGCTGTCTTTCTCTTTTTTCTTTTGATTGCCTTTTGTTGTTTTTTTGAGGCTGAGTCCTTGATGCTTTTTTTTTTTATTTCTGTGTTGATTTTTGTGTCTCCCTCTTTTTTTTTTTTTTTTTTTTTTTTTTTGGGAGGGTTGCAAAATATGGTTTGTAAAATTCTATTTTACATACCTTGTTGTGCAATTTTACAAACCATAATTTACAACACATAGATGGGTTGCAAACTAATGGTTGCAAAATTCCTTGAAATGAGGCAAAAATGTACTTTTGCAAACCATATTGTTTGCAAGACATAAGGGTTGCAACATATGTGCCTTAAAATTCTACTTCATGGGGCATGGGTTGCAATTTTAAGGCACATGTGTTGCAACCCTTTTTTTTTGCAACCCATATTTTTGGGTGATGGTTTGTAAAATTATACATTACCCCCATAAAAATGTAATTTTACAAACCATCTGATTTACAAGACATATGTCTTGTAAAATATAGTTTGTAAAATTACAGCGACCCATAGTATAACCTCTGATTGGAATCGTGTGACCAATTTTAAACAAAACAAGAAGATAATCAAGAAGACATTGACCAAGGATCATTACTTTAGCGGTAAAAGGAACGAATTTATCAACTATATCTGTAACAACTCAACAGCATATTCAGTTAGTCTGTTGATCGACTAGTCAAACTTCAATAAAACAATTCAACAAAACAATCAACGAACCTCTGAAAAATAAAGTGTAACCATCAACTGAAAACAAGTATCTCGAAGGAGGCAGCCAGTTATTGACCAAAAGAAGGAAGACCACCAAAGGATTTGGATAACTTGGATACTGTTTGAAGAGAACTTAGGAACTATTCAAAGGAAGCAGCTGCTTATTGACCAAAAGAAGGAAGACCACCGAAGGATTTGGATAAGTAGATCCTGTTAGAAGAAGAAATTCCCAGTATTATTTGAATTATTATTTTAGAAAATCATAAAACTTGCCCTGGTAAAGAGACCAGAGACCATAGTATTATTTTGTTTCTTTTTCAGAGCAACCGTTGTTTAGTTATCAGAGGAGCGTTAAGTAAGGAAAACTAGGAAAATCAATCACAATCAACATGAGTTTACCATTCAGTACACCAGATTTGGAAGACGGATTCGCACCATCAACCCCTTTTAGAAACCATCCTTTTAATCGACCTTCGGGATCCTCTTCAGCTTTCAATTGGAATTTGGAAAACACAATGCCACCACCACCAAAGAACAAAGGAAAAGGAAAAGCAAGTCAAATGCGAGATACAACAGATGAAGACTCGGATATAGGAGATACTACACCTCAAGGAACGAATATACCTCCTGTTTCAAACACTCAGAATGCGGGAGAACCAGTTTATAATCGAGAACAACAACAACCTGACAATCAAGCAAACATGAATCAGCAACCCATCCCGCAAATAGCACCAAAAATTATCAAGGAACCAGGACTTTTTTACAATGGCGAAAACTTTGGAAAATTTTTGATGCGGTTTGAAAGAGCAGCTAGGGCGTTTAATGCAAGCGACTACGATAAGGCGTTACAAATCAAACAATTCATGAAGACCGAGGAGCTCAAGATCCAACTAGAAGCCATGGACGGGTTTGAGAAATGTGAATGGGAAAAACTACGAAAGGAAATGATTGAAACCTGGGGTGAATTGGACAACACAATCTTGTACACTTGCAACGACCTGGCTAAAGTTACCAAAGAAGACGGAGTAAATGGCGGAATCAAGGATCATCGGGAATTCAAATCTTACTTAGGAAAATTCACCACCATTCTCAAATACTTAGTAACCAATAAGCAAATACATCAGAAATAGGATGCCTCAATACTCTTTCTGAGTGGATTTTCCCGTGAAAGCCAATCAAATATCAAACGCACCTTAATTAGTTACGATTTACTTCCAAAGGGATCAGATGGCAGAAATTTACCTCCACTCTGGGAAGACTTGGTTGAAGCATCAAGACTGGAAGTACGGATTGTGGAGCCTGGATACTTTAACATCACGGGATTTGGTGAATCTAATCAATTGATGCAGAATAAACTGAATGCTCAGAAGGGAAACAGCCAACAAAGAGATCAGATGATTGCGGAAGCACCTACAGGACAAGCCATGGACAAGCAAGTAGAAGATATAGCTTGAGAAATTGCGTCACTTAAGTCTCAACTGAAGAGCATAATCCCTGTATCGTACAATCAATCCGGATCAAACGAAAAATCAGAATTTACCAGAGGAAATTCTAAGCCTTCAACACCTTTGTACGAAACTCAAGTTTGTTACTACTGCAAGAGGGAGGGACACAGAACCTTTCAATGTCAAGAACCCTTAAAGGACAAAGAACAAGGATTAGTTAGGCGTAACGGAAAAGACTGGTATTTACCAAATGGACAACACATACCTTGGAATCCTGCGAGGCCTATCAGAAAAGTAGTAGCTACAGCGTCAGCGGATCCTCAAATGCAAGAAGCCGCAAGAAAATTAGCAGAATCCCTTAAATCAGGAGAAACTCAAGCACCTGCTACAATGAAAACCTCAGCTCAAACCATTGATTGGGATCCACCACAACTAGGTGCAGAAACCTTTCTAGCCAAGCACGCAATTACCCGACCCGAGGGCCAACGAGGAAGACGCAGTGTTTGGATTCAAGAACCAGAAAAGGATGACATGGACGTTGATCAGGAAGATGAGCTCGCCAATATTACGGAGGAAACACCTAAAACACCTGTGGTAGAGAAAGTGTGGAGTAAAGAAAAGCCAGTGAATAAAAATAAGGCTGCAACGCCAGAAGAAGCTCTGCTGCAAGAGTTGGATCATCTAAAAATTCCCACAACATTTGCGCAACTTACGGCTATCTCACCATCCTACACAGAACAAATAATCACAAAACTTCAGAATTGACTTCCAGAGAAAAGTAGTGCGACTTATATTGCTACAGAAGCCACAAAAGTCTCAGCAGCCATGACCACTCCGGAAATAGAAGATTCCTTGGACCCTTGCTACTACAGCTGTGCCTTAGGATACGTAACAGCCGAAGTTGGGGGAGCTAGTGTGGAATTTATGGTAGATTCAGGGTCCATGGTAAACGTTATGCCAAGATCAGTAGCGGAAGATTTGGATTTGGAACTAGTTCAAGTAAATATACCAATGAAAGGAGTTGGAGGAGCAAGATGTGACTTAAATTGAGTAGTTGAAAATTGCCCAGTTGGAATTGGATGATTCTCTGGACCAGTGCATTTATTTGTTTCACCCAAGGCTCAGGACTGTATTTTAGGACAACCTTTCTTATTTGATTACGGATGCACTCTGGAATATCACAAGAATGGTGAAACTCTTTCTTTTCAAGGAACAAAGGGGCGAAGGGTGTCAGTGCCATTAGCAAGAACGGGCCAAGGAAGGGGCTGGAATAATAAGAAGGACCTCAGTACCAATAGCGTGAAGTTACAGTACAACAATATACCGCCAAACTACGAGGATCAAATGTTCAAAAAGAGTATTATTCAGCATTTTTTATGAATTCCGGCGTCCAATTGAGAGATAACTCACTGAAGCTAGTCAAGAGAGTTGAATTCTGGGTGGCGGTGTTCTTTGACTGGCTACTATTTTTTCTTTTTCTTATCTTACAAGAAATTACAAAACTAACCAAAACAATTTTTAAGCTGATGCAATTTTTTTCCAAGATAATACTCACTGATATTTCAGACTCAATTTTAAGACTATGTAAAACAGGTAACAAGGAACACGAACACAAAAAAAGATGGGAAGAAGAACACAGCAGACAAGAACAACTCACCTGCTCACAATACGAAGGAGTTGTAATACAATCAAACCTTGCCAAACAGATCATAAAAGAATCAGTTACGAGGATGGAACCAAGCACGAACATCCACGACCTGTTGGGAATAGGACTTGAGTGGACGTTCTGTAAGGACTGCGAATGTCCTTCCCTAGATGAGTCGTGGAATGGCACAAGGGGACGGGCAAGGAGCCTAGAAATTTCTAAGACCAAACACAGGAGCTTTTTTATTACTGGCTCAGAGAGATGGAAGGGAGCAATTCTCTCAGTACAATCTAGAAAGAGAGAGGAAGGAAAGAAAACAAGAAGAAAGGAAATTGGGACTCACCTGGCTCAGAGAGATGGAAGGGAGCAATTCTCTGCAGAGCCAGGAAGAAGAACTGAAAGAACAAAACTAAAAGGGAAGCGTGACATGTGAGTGAAAGGTTTGTGAACCCAGCCGGAGGGGGGGGTTTACATGTTCCAGAAGCACTTATGTCAGAATTGAAAGGAAGGGAACTTGTGGTGCATGACAAAGTACAAACCAGTTGGGAAGAAAGTTCGACCAATTAATCAACCACTTCCACAGCTATTAAATCCACCACTAAAGCGACCACCTCTATCTCAAGACCCATATAAAACTCCGCTTACTCCGCATCCACCAGAATTCACACCTACCAATAAAATTACTGAAGAGCGCTTAAAGGTTGTTAATTTTGGACTGGAAGGATGGCTTTGGAAAGAAGAACTCAAACTATTCAAGCGCGTCATTGTTATCCGAGAAAAAGCTTTGGCATTCTGTATGGAAGAACGAGGGCTTTTGAAACACTCTTACAGACTACCTTACGCGGTACCAGTCATTGATCATATACCATGGCAGAAGAAACCAATACCTATACCGGCTGCAATCAAGGACGACTATGTAGAACTAGTACGAGAACGGATACGGACAGGTCTTTACGAGCAATCCACTTCCAGCTACTCTAGTCCAGTTTTTTGTGTTGCAAAACATGATGGAAAATTACGGATTGTACACGACCTACAAGAAATGAACCGAGTAACAATCATCAAGGATGCAGGATTACCGCCAGCAACAGAAGAATTTGTAGAAGCCTTTGCCGGACGAGCCTGTTACGGATTAGGGGATATTATGGGAGGATACGACGAACGAGAATTAGCGGAAGAATCAAGGCCTTTAACCACCTTTGATACACCATTGGGGAGATTTCAATTAACCAGACTTCCTCAAGGGGCCACAAATTTGGTTGCAGTCTATCAAGCTCAAATGATGTGGATTCTGCAAGACAAAATTCCGGAATATGTGGGCATATTTATTGACGATGGTGGGATTAAAGGACCTCGATCAACTTACAACAATGAAGTTCTGGAAGAAAACCCGGGTATACGACAATTTATATGGGAATATGCTCAAACCTTGGAAAGAGTACTGTTTAGAATCAAAGAAGCCGGACTCACTATTTCTGGCAAGAAGTTTGCTTGTTGCGTTCCTGCATTGGATATAGTTGGACACGTGGTCAGCAAAGAAGGACAAAAAGTTTCAGTGCAGAAGAAAAACAAAATCACCACATGGCCAACTCCAAATAGTCTCACCGAACTACGAGGGTTTATGGGAATAGTCACTTATGTCCGCATTTTTGTCAAAGATCTAGTGGAAATTGCGGCACCTCTACAAAAACTCACAAGGAAAGACATTAGCTGGGCATGGTCCGGAGTAGAGATGGTCGCGGATAATCCGCCGCGGATATCCGCTATCCGCTGGCGGATACCCGCCAGTGCCAGCGGGTGCGGATTCGGGTGCGGATGCGCCCTTCCCCCTGAAATACTGGCGGGTATCCGGGTATCCCTTGGGATACCCGGTGCTAAGAGGCCACACCGCCGGAAGGAATCCCTCCCGGCAAGCTGGTTTTTAGGTTTTTAAACCAGCTTGTCGGGAGGAACCCCTCCCGGCGAGGGCTTTACTCATCTGATGTCGACTCCATCAATGAGTTACATGGGCACTCCATCTATGGGTCATCACATGCCGAATCCATCCATGGGTCATCAAATGATGTCGAACTCAAGCATGGCTCATCAAATGAGCCCAGCTCCATCCATGGGTCATCAAAGAACACCCAGCATGATGGATAACCTAGATCCCAACTACTATCATGACAGTCACCATCTAGATGTACATCCCAGGCCATCTTCCAGGGCTAGCAGTCGAGTCCACGACTTCGATTCCATCTGCCGGCCCGCATCTAGATCTGGAAGCATACGCGCCGACTATAGTCCTATGCAGCCACGGCTAGGACTTCCTAGCCGACCATTGTCTCAAAACCTTACTGCTGAAGATCTTGGACTTCAATTCGGAGGAGAACCGGCGGAGCAGATACCCCATATCAATCACATCAATAATGATGCGCTCCTATCAGCTCGGCTCGAAAGTGCGGCCCTGAATAGTGAAATTAATGGCGGAAGAAGATCGTGTGCCAACAGCCAATTAGATCCAATGGATGACTACCGTGAGATGGATAACAGCCATTTGAGAGCCAATCTCAACGCAATGAACTTGAACGGCAGCGGCGGTCGTTCCCGCGCAAACAGTTGTACTGAAATGCATGGCGAAGATTTCTTGTGAAGCGCTAGGATTCAACTTGGCAATGATTTCAAAACAAGCAGCAACATGGGCAGCATGCGCTCCCGTTCAAACAGCCATGTCGGGTTATTGAACAACGAAGGCTTATCGCCGAATCCTTGCCGAGATCTGGCCTGTAGACGCTCGCCGGGAGGAACCACTCCCAGCGAGCTGGCCTGTAGACGCTCGCCGGGAGGGGTTCCTCCCGACGGTGTGGCCTCTGCCCCTTTAGGCCGAGGGGGCTGGTTTTTTTTTTCTTTTTCTTTTTTTTAAAAAAAAAAACACTTCTGGAAGAGCCTCGCAGCCCATTCAGAGGGCGGGTATCCGCGGGTATCCGCGCAGATACCCGCCAACGCTGGTGGGTATCTGCCGGCGGATGCGGATGCGGATGCGGATGTGTGTTTCCGCTGAAATCGTGAGCGGATATCCGCATCCGCGCAGATATCCGGATTCAATGCGCCCATCTCTAGTCCGGAGAGTGTAACGAAGCCTTTAATAAACTCAAGAAAATAATTGGAGAAGATATTACTCTGAAAAATTTGGACTATTCGGAAGGTGCAGGATTAATCGTACTGGTAGTGGATTCAAGTTTTATTGCGGCAGGAGCAGTTTTGGCCCAGCAAGAACTAGAGACAGGATTGAACAGACCAGTTTTATACAAATCTGTAGTGTTTTCACCCGTGGAATCCAAATATTCTCAGCCTAAACTAGAACTATGCGGGGTATCACGAATTCTCAAGAAACTACAAACACTTCTTTGGGGTCAACATTTTGAATTACAAGTGGACGCCCAATCACTTATTCAAATGATTAACTCCCCTTCACTTCCAAATGCACCAATGACGCGATGGGTGGCCTTTATTCAGCTCTTCTCTTTTGACATAGTACATAAACCAGGAAAAACATTTACTTTACCGGACACTTTATCCAGAAGGCCTATCAGTGAGGAAGAGGAAGAATTCTACGAAGATCAGCCGGATTTTGACGAGGATGAGCCAGTGATACGGGCAACTTTTCAGTTCAAAACATTTTCTATATCAGATGAGCTCTTTGAGTGGGAATCACCGGGATTTTGTATGGATCTTAAAAATTACTTAAGTACAATGAAACGGCCAACAGGCATGGATCCCGAAGAATACCGGTCAATAAAGCGGAAATCAGTTAACTTCTTTATGCAAGACGGACGACTCATGCGGCGACACTCTCCCATGGCTCAATTGGTTATCTCCAACATCTCTTACCAGAGTAAACTCTTGCAAAAAGTCCATGAAGAATTGGGACACAGAGGATTGGAGGAAACTTATCAACGACTGGTTTGCAGATTTTGGTGGCCCAGTTTGAAGAAGAAAACAAAGTTGTGGGTTCAAAGTTGTGAGGCCTGCCAGAAAAGAGATGCTTTGGTACCCAGGGAAATCAGGGATCCAACTGGAGCAACAACTTTATTCGGACGGGTAGCTTTAGATGTCTGCCATATAAAAGCCGGAAGATATAAATATTTATTAATTGCTAGAGACTACTTATCGGGATGGGCAGAAGCAGCACCACTTGTCAAGCTGACGGCAGCAACCATTGCTAAATTCCTTCTAGAAGAATGGGTGTATCGGTATGGAGCAATCAAGACGGTAACGGTAGACAATGGACCAGAATTCAAGAACGAGTTTATTACGGCAGTGGAAAGCATTGGAGCAAAATTCAAACCAACTACGCCGTACTATCCTGAAGCAAATGGAATGATTGAGAGAGGCCACAGAGCCATCAAAGACACTTTAGTAAAAATGTGTGGCGAATCTGGAGGAAAATGGAGAGAATATTTACCTTTAGTTTTATTTTCGGACAGAATCTCAACAAAAAGGACGACTGGATTTTCCCCATATGAATTGATGTTTGGACAGAAAGCAGTTCTCCCAGTGGATATTGAAATGGACACCTATCTTGGAATTGATTGGACATAAATCAGTACTACGGCCGAACTTCTAGAAGCAAGGACAAAACAGCTGGAAAGACGAGACAAAATTTTGGGAATCACTCACCACAAAATGATGGAAACTCGAGAAACTTCAGTCAGATTCTGGGATTGAAAAATGGCGGCCAGATTACGTCAACCACTGCAACCTGGGGATTTGGTTTTAACTTATAATAAAAGTCTGGAGGATCAGTGGGGGAAGTTATTTGAAAACAGATGGAATGGACCTTCTAAAGTTAAGAAACAGCTTAATGGAGGATCATACATACTGGAAGAACTAGACGGGGTCAAATTAAAAAGGGCCTATGCTGCATCTCACATAAAAAGGTTTTATCCACAAGGACGACCTTTGGCAGGTATACAAGATGAAGAAGACTCACATTCAAACTCAGATTCAGACCTTAACTCAGACGGGGATTCAGATGGGGATTCCTCCACTTCAGAATGAAACCTTTTCTTTTTTATCAGTTTTTTTTAGTCTTTATCTGTAAAACACTTTTTTCAATTCTTCATCATCATAAAAGAAAAAAAAAAAAAAAAAAAAAAAAAATCACTTAACTAATCTACAAACCCTTTTCAGACTCATTTTTGTTAAGTTGGGGGAGGATCATTGAAGAGTAAAGTCATCATTTTTCTTGAAAAATTTACTTCCTTAAATTTTTTCTTCTTTTTCTTTTTGTTTTTTTGGATTCTTAAAACTTACTCTCAAGAAAAGTCTCACTGACTTAGTCAATGGTTGAGGACAACCAGCAAAGTTGGGGGAGGGGGTCTGGAAAGTCAATTTGGAAAAATTCAAAATTTATTTACTTAGAAAAATAAGAAGAGGAAAAAGTAAAACAAAGTTAAATAATAGTAACCATGGGGAAGGGATAAGAAGAAGAAGTCACATTTTTTTAGTCTTTAAAAGAAATTTTATACTTTTTTTTAGATTGTTTTACCTTTTAATTTTTTTTTTTTTTGGTTTTTTGAAGAAGAAGAAGGGGAAAACAAATAATTTAGAAGTTCCTGGTGCTCAAATAAGTAGACCTTTTGTTTTGGAAATGCCACTGCATGTTCTCAAAGAACATTACTTGGCGGTCAGATTCGGCTAAAGAAGATGGCGGATACTCCGAGCACGTATGAACGTAGTCGGGAGCGATACCTTCAAAGATGCGCATAACATCTTCTTTGGTGTAGATACACAGTGCGGATGGCGGGTTGTGGTCGTCAAGGAGGAGTCTTTGAACCCCCTGATGGTTCAAGCCGATATAAGCCAAGATAGGGGTATAGGTCGATGACGCAGTAGATGAAGTGTTGGACGAGGTCAAGGGCGCTGAGCTAGAGTGCGAAGATGGATCCGGAGAACTAGAAGTCAAAAATAAGTCAATCAGAGCCGTGGTCTTTAAGAAAGGGACCGGGAGTCCGGGGGGAAGCTCCTGAAATTTAAAACAATAACAAAGCGGATTGTATCAGTAATGGGATCAACAAAAGTGATGAGAAGAATAAAAGAAGAAAGGCTTACCGGATCATGTACGTTCCACGCAACACACACGAACGGGTGTGGATCGTTATGGATACTCATCCGGGGGACTGCAGTAGGAATCGAAGACTAGAAAGGATTATTGTTTTTATAAAGGTGAAAGGACTTACTTGGTGGGCATCAGTAGCCTGCACAGGATTAGCGACCAATTGACCATCCGGACCACCAGCCACAGAGATATTCTAAAGTAGTCAATCAGGCAAGGATGTTAGAATCAATCCAGTACACAAATGAATAAGAAAGACGAATGACTTACCGGTTTAATGTCTTTGATAACCGGCTCATCCACGACCATGTCATTGGGAGAGGGTCGAGTTGTTTGAGAAGGCTCTGGCTCCCACACGGGGCTCCACATATCACGGTCCGGGTAGTATCTAATCCCATTTTGAACATAATTATACTGGGAGCGATAAGAACAACTCATTAGCATCAAGAAACACGACACATTAGACTAAATAAATAAAAAAGAGATCAGCTCCTTACCTCAGTCAAGTGGTCGGAGCCAACGTCATAATCAAGGGTGTAGTTGATAAAAATCAAGCAACTAGAAGTTTTTATTGTCATTAGAATGATTGAAGATACAAGGAGTAATAGCGACTAGTTTAAGATGATCATGTACCTAGAAGCAAGCAAGGCTTTTACTCTGGTTCTTGTAACAGGCTTTTGATAAAGAGAAAGTAGAGTCTGAGAGGTAATGAAGAAGAGTATGACAAAGAGGTTGTTCTGTACAATTTTATGAGTTAAGTTCTGCATTAGTATCTGTGCTTCATGGCAATAGCAGTTTGGGATAGTTGATCTTACTCTGGGTCTTAGATCCAACTTCTTAGTTCTTTACGTATGGTTGTTGTTGAATATTGGTGTAAGGGGCTTCTGTTCATCAATACGTTTCTGTGTTAGCTTTGCTTTGCTTCTCTGTTTCTATGAGTTACGAGGTTTGTCTTACCTGCGCTTCTTTCAAAGTGTAGGCTTGAGTTCTGGTTTGTAGAGGTTTTGGTGTATGTTGTTTTGTCTACAGAATGTACTTATTATTAGTTGATGACTTAATAAAGTAATTCTTATATTCTATAGCTTACCAATAGGTTTGCTGGGTAGACTCTGACTGGACGAGGCTGCTGCAATGGGGGATGATAATCGACCAAGCAGGCTGTTATTTAAGGTAGACAGCGGTCAGCCTTAGGGCTCACTTGTGCCTCGTCTTTTCTTAGTTTAGTTTACTGCAAACTCACCTCCTGTCTTGGTTGGTGTAGTTCTCCTGTTCTGTCGCATTGGCTAATGGACTGCGGTCTATGAATTCCATCATGGTTGGTTAGTTTTTGTCTCCTAGATGGTTTATTACATGAGTTAGTGAGAGTGGCTTACCAATCACTACTGCATGCTCTGTTTGTTGAGTTCTAGCCCTTTTTAGGGTCGAATCTCTATCTACTGGGTTTGAAATCCAACAGTAGTCAGGAGTTGAGTAGCAAGACGACATGGCGAAACCTGATTTAGGAAGACTGTTTTGAAAACAAAGTTGTGACTGGGGAGTATGGATGGGTCTTTGGGAGTAGCTGACTGGTGAAGGAAGTGGTTGAGGAAGAAAAGAAACTGGCAGCGAGTGAATGTTATTTATAAGAAAATGAGGACCTCTCGATTTTAACCTACTGGCGCGGAAACCTCTCCACAAACGATTTGACTCCATCGGTGAAAACCTTCCTTTTAGAACAATGAAGACCATTTCGCATTCATTTATTCAAATTGATGCGCGCCTGGATACAAAAAGGAGAAGTGATTCGGATCCAAGACGACTATGCTACAACATTGAAGCACTACTCAAAACAAAAGGAGTGAAGATCAAAAACAATCGACAGCTAGCAAAAGAAAAGGAAGAGAAACAAAAAAAAAAAAAAAAAAGGAACTTACTAGAAGACTAAAAGCTATTCTCAAACTTGCATCCTTTATTCAATCGGCGCAGGCCTGGATATGAAAGGGGAATCAATTCAAAATCCAACACGGCTAGGCTGAACCAGTGGTACTATTCAAGAATAAAGGAAGGAAGATCAAAACGATCTTCAGCTAACTAGTCAACCTATACAAGGCTAGCAAAAGAAAAGGAAGAGAAATCCGAAATAAGAGGAACTCACCTCGACTGCTGAAGCTATCCGCAAGCTTGCCGCGGAGCTAGTCTAGAGCTGATCGATAACTATTCGAAAGGAAGATAGTTTTTTTTAGTTTACTAATTTGAAAATGGCTAAAAAAAAGAAATTGGAAATTAGAACATTGGGATAACTTACTGGCGGGGAAGGGATAATCGACTAGCGTGAAGGATTGACGGTATTCAATTTGCTGAGAAGTTGGTAGAAGCCAGAAGAGAGAGGACCCACAGAGAGGCTAGCGCGGAGTCCTAAGACCGATCAGACCCTGTCACGCTTTGTGACAGGGCATGGAAAGCTAAAACAGGCGCAATCGAATTAGTATATCCCATAAGCTTCCACCTTCAAATCCACCATAGTCGAGTCAGTAAGGACTGTGACTAGTCAAACTGCTGCGGACCCGAGTTCGAGCCCCACCGTGTGTCAACATTGCACAACCCACCCCCTCTACACCTGAGGCATGTGTCATGCTTTTTGAGGTCATGAAATAAAGCCAACAAAATCAGAGTTTTTTTTCAACTCTATAAAATTCCATACATTAAAACCTAAAACTCAGAAATTCATAGTTTAAATTGGGTTCAAAAAACCCTCATCTGTCTGGCCCAATTTCTACTAAGATTAAGTCAAAATACTGTGGAATTTTTGCTGTTATCACTCAAATACGGAATGATCTCGAACCAAACAACTGAATAATCAAATACAACACCTCATCTGGCACCAAAATTACTATCTCATCAAATTAGGAGTAACACTAGACCTAAATCAACTTCGCCACTGGCATGAATATTCTTGGACAGATCAAGTAAAACTCTGAAAACAACTCACATCTACGTAACAAAATCTCAACATTTCTTCATCAATCCAATCAACACTCCACGGATGAATTCACCGCCACAACTCAACACACGTCAAGACAAATCTCAACTACACACGGTCAAACCTATTTTTTTATTTGTAATATTAGCTCCAAAACACAGTCAGAATCAGAATTGACTGGGGACAGTCAATAAGTTGGGGGAGGATGTGGTAAATAATAATGTGTTTCTACGCAGAAAATATAAAAATTTCTTATTATCTCTTTATACATTCAAGATATGGTAAAAATGACATCAAAAATGGAATCCTCAGGTAAAATAACCCCTAGTCACCCACTACAACCATACCCTTATCTCTTATAGTTTAGAAGTTACACAGATTTCAACCTGTCACGGGATATTTCTTGGATTCAGCACTCTAGCCATAGTCATTATGAATACAGGATGCATATTGAATACTGAATTCCTTTGTAGTAAATTGAATACCTTTAAGTTATATTGAATCCCTTTGTATTAGTGATATTGCATGTATGCATCCCTTTGATCATACATATGTGTCCCTTTATTCATTCATATGCATCCCTTTGTAGTAGTATCTTTCAGCCTGTACCCTGGGGCCAAAATCCCTCACATTTGTCTATATAAGGAGGCCTCTGCCTGCCAGTTGTCCCATCCATCATCCCACCAGTGGACCAGATCATCTCAACCACCCTTATAAATAAATCCATCTTATATATTATTTCATAACTACAAGTCATAGCCACATTACAATTACAGATTTATACACATTGAAATACAGATTTAACACTTTCATCATCATCATAAACAAAAAGTGCCCTGAACCATATTCATCAACAACAACTTCATCAATATAACCAACAGTCAATAACATCTTTATACCCTCACACATATCAATTGGCAGCTTCATCTCAAACTTATCCCTATCACTATATATAAAATTGCCAAGCTAAGCTTGGTGGTCTTGTTATTCTGATAGTATAGAAGGGCAGAGCTTGCAACTCCAACATACCCTTCTCCATTCAGCAAAAGGGTTTTCATAACCACTTTTGAGTCTTACACCGTATCTGTTTCAGCGTTGATGTAAGCCTCTCTGACAAGACTGGGCTGCCGCCCAGACCTGCCCGCACACAACTCTCGTCATGAGAGGCTTAGACAAGCTCGCCTCACCCCCTCTAAAACTTCAACACACCACAACTCAGCCAATCCTCAACCAAAATTGACAAAAAAAACAGAATTATTCTTTTTTTCTCCTCTTTGACGCCACAGTCTCAGATTTTTTTGATTCACCTCCGCTTCATAATTCCCAGCTTGCAGGTACACTCTAAACTTCAAAACACCCATTTCTCAACCAAAATACACAAAAAAAAACCCAAAAGTATTGTTTTTTTATCCTCTTCACCCCCATTATCTCCAATTTTGCTGATCCATCTCCGTTTTTTTTAAAAATCATTAGTAGGCCTTGGAATTGACTCTGGGAAGCCGGCTGGATGAGCTGGAATTGCCCCTGTGAAGTGGGCTGGATGAGCTGGAATTCCCCTGGGAAATGGGCTGGATGAGCTGGAAAGGTGGGCTGGATGAGCTGGAATTCCCCCTGGGAAATGGGCTGGAAAGGTGGGCTGGATGAGCTGGATTTGCCCCTGTGAAATGGGCTGGATGAGCTGGAAAGGTTGGCTGGATGAGCTGGAATTGCCCCTGTGAAGTGGGCTGGATGAGGTAGAAAGGTGGGCTGGATGAGCTGGAATTGCCCCTGGGAAATGGGCTGTGTGAGCTGGAAAATTCCCAGCAGATGTTTTGAGCTGGATGAGCTGGTTTTGCAATGGGCTCACCCAGCCCAGCAGAAGGTTTGGCTTCAAGCCGATAATTTGCCGGTTTTTGCTCTGGCTTCAAGCTGAAGAATTTTTTCGACAAAACTCCACAAACTCATTCCACAACTTACCCTATCACTTGATTAAAGCTTGCCAAGCTGAGCTTGGTGGGTCTTGTTATCTGATAGTATATATAGAAGGGCAGAGCTTGCACCTCCACCATCCCCTTCTCCATTCAGCAAAAAGGGTCTTACAACCACTTTTTGAGTCTTACAAGGGAGTCCCCAAGGTGATAGGATAAACTTGTGTGATCTACATCACGTAATCGAATTTCAACAAATAACAAGAAGGAATCGTCAAAGGATCACTAACTTTAGCGGGAACTGGATCAAATGTATCAACTATATTTGCAACTACTCAGCGGCATATTCAGTTATTCTGTTGATCAACTAGTCAAACTTCAATAAACAATTCAACAACACAAAACAACCAACCTCTGAAAAGAAAGCGTAGGAATCAACTGAAACAACGACTTGAAGAAGACAGCCAGTTATCAACCAGAAGAAGGAAGATTATTGAAGGATCTGGATAACTAGGATACTGTTCAACAACAACTCAGGAAATATTTGAAAAAAGCAGCTGCTTATAGACCCAAAGAAGGGCAAAGGTACCCAAAGGATTTGGATAAGTAGATTCTGTAAAAGAAGAAATTGCCAGTATTTAACTGATCTATTATTTAAAAGAAAGCCATAAGCTTGCCCTGGTAAAGAAACCAGCGACCAAAGTTTTATTTGTTTCTTTTTCAGAGCAGCCGTTTGTTTAGTTATCAAAGGAGCGTCAAGTAAGGAAAACTAGGAAAATCAATCAAAATCAACATGGATCTACTGTTCAGTACATCAGATATGGAAGAATCATTTGCTCCACAAACCAATTATAGGAAACAAGCTTTTACGCCAACTTCAAATTTAAACCGGAATACAAAAACCACAATGTCATCATCAACACCATCACCACCTTGGATGAAGAACAAGAAGTTGGGAAATCTGATTATACCCGTGCCGCCTAGATTCAGAACTGGAATCTTCAATACCCTAGATATGGATGAACCAATTTATCAACAGCCCAAACAACAGGAACCTATTTATCAACAACCAAATAACCAAAATAAACTAGTTTTAATTGAAAAACCTGGACTTTTCTACGATGGACACCATTTCATGCAGTTTTTGAGGCAATACCAGATGAGGGCAGATTCACTTAATGCATCCAAATACAATCAAGCCCTACAGATTGGGCGGTTTGTGCGAACCGAGGAACTGAAGTGTAAAATTGAGTCCATGGACGGATACAAGGAATGTGACTGGGATACTCTACGGGCCTCAATGATTGAATTATGGGGTGACAAGTATAAAATTCTGTATACAACAACTGACCTAGTCAACCTTTCTGAAGAATCTTCTAGAGATAACAAATCAGTCAGCTACCAAGCATTCCAGACGTACCTTCAAAAATTTTCCGAAATACTTGATTTCCTCCTCATCCAGAAACAATTGAGAAGTAGACAGGATGTCTTAGTTCTTTTCATCAGTGCCTTTCCTCAAGAACTCCAGAGAAATATCAAACAGAATTTAAATCAGAATGGTCAACTTCAACAATCACCCAATGGATCCAGGTTACCCCCTCTTTGGGAACACCTTACAG